GAGAGAGAGAGAGAGAGAGAGAGAGAGCATGAGCATGGCAGTGGGAAAGGAAATGTCATTTTTGTCAGCTAGACACCAGAGTGTTTGTGGGGTACCTGAAGGTTCTAGGCCTGGGGCCCTGAGGCAAGTAACGGACTTCATTGTTGTCCTCATGGAGCTTATGGGAAACTTTCCAGTGTTTGCTCATATTCAGGCTCATACATAATTCTTCTTCTACTTAAAGAACCAGAATATTAGGTTTTGTTTGTTTGTTTTTGAGATGAGTTCTCTATATGTTTCCTAGGCTGATATGGGCTCGGGGACCCTTTCTGCCTTGGCCTAAATGGCTGGTACCACAGCACAGGTGGGCATTATCACGCCCAATGAGAAATACTTATTTTGGGAACAGTGGTGACACACACCTTTAATCCCAGCACTCAGGAGGCAGAGGCGGCAAGCGGATCTCTACAGAGTTCTATGCTAGCCTGGTTTACAGGGTGAATTCCAGGACAGCCAGGGCTACACAGAGAAATCCTGTCTCTAAAAACAAAACAAACTAACTAAAACAAACAAACAAAAAAAAGAAAGAAAGAAAAAAGAGAAATGCTTTTTACCTTTTGAGTCACAAAACCTAGGTTTTCACTGAAGCTCTCCTACCAGCTTTGGGACCTTGAGGGAACTGATTAATCTCTCTGATCCTCCCTGTCTTCCCTGCCTCTGAGAAGGGGCATACTATTTGCCCTTCTTGCTTTCCAGAGCACTTGGGGTCATTCTTGTAATCCAAGTTCCTGTTTCTGGGCAACGCTACCTTCCTACCTTGTGGCAGTTCCTGAAGAGTGAAGATACCCTTCCGAGTGTCTCACATCCTTGGCTTTGCCCTGTGCCTTCTCAGCCTTCTCTCTCCTCCTCTAGGAGACTGACTTCAGAACCCTCGCTGGCTCCATTCACCATGCCGGTTGCTGCCACGAACTCCGAGTCTGGTAAGAAGAGATGAAAGCTGTCAGCCTGCCTCAGTAGTTCCATGGGGGTTGGGCTAAGATCAGGGGGTGGATACAGCAATAACTGTTCATCCCTCCCTTGCCACACCACGCGTGGTCATTTGGTCATTCAGGCTGCCTCCCCGATGGGGTAGGATAGATCTGGGGAAGACTGAGCTTGCTCCAGTAGTGCTGTATATTGTAGCATGACTCACCTGCCCGAGGCTCAGGATACTTGCCTCAGCAGACACCACCACTGCTGTTTATTTTTTTTGTTTTTTGTTTTTGTTTTTTTTATGGCATTGACCTATAAGCCACTTATCTCTGACTTGTCTCCTCTTAGGTGAGGTGGCAGGATGGGGATGGGTGGTTTTGACTTTGCTCCTAGGTCTCCCAGACTTTGATGACAGCAGTGGGCCCTCTTCATAGACATATACCTTCATTCATGCCCCAAAGTCTGCACCCAATGGTTCCTGAGTCCTTGAGTGTTTCCTGAGACCTACCAGGTTAGGTCCCAAGTCCAGAGGCTCTGAAAGGGTTCCGGCTATAGCTATGAGATGCCCTGAGAGACCTGAATTATTCACCACAGATCCTGCTTCTCCCCCAGCAAGACATTCCAGGTTCCCACATTAGATGCATTCTTGTCTCTACCCTCTGAGAAAATGAACTTTGCTGTGTGCCAACCAGAACCTAAGCTGTGACCCCTTTGTCCCCCAAGAAAGGCTCCTTTTCCATGGCTCACAGTGTCCCCCCTGTTTCTTGGAGGGATCATGATTTTTCTCTTGCCCTGTGGCCTCTCCCCCTGCTCCTCTGATCAGGTTCCCCACTCTAAGCTGCTTAGGAGTTAATGAGACCCATCCCTGAGCCTGTGATTAAAAGGTTTCTCATCTGGGGCTGCTCAGTAAACCTATTAACAGTGACCAGCATGGCTGCACAGGAAGACACTTCCCAGTTGCAGGTCTTCTGGTGGGGGCTCACAGGGGAGGGAACCCATGCCTGTGTGTGTGGCCTGCTTTTTCAAACGTCTCCTGGGGCCCTGTTCCCCTAGATGCAGTGCCGTGGGCTGCTCTTTGCTTCCATGTCCAAAGAAAGAAATAACTTGCGCTCCCTTTCCTGAACCAGCCCTCTGCCAACTTCTCTGCTTCAGAATCTAAGAGTGCATCTTGTCTGTGGTGGTTTGAATGAAAATGGCCCCATAGGCTCATAGGGAGTGGCACTATTAGGGGGTGTGGCCTTGCTGGAGGAAGTGTGTCACTGTGGGTGGGCTTTGAGGTTTCAAATGCTCAAGCCTGGCCCAGTGGCTCTCTCTTCCTGCTGCTTGCTTGCCGTTATCATCTGGTGCTTGCTATATTTTCCATGGGTTTGACCGAGAGACAGCTGTGCCCCTTGTCTGAGGTCGGGCTCCCCCTTCACTGCCCCTTCCCCCCCTCCCCGGGACACTTCTGCTTTGGGCTCTGCAAAGGTGAAACTAGCCAGTTCCTTCTCCATCCCTTCCCCATGGATCCAAATGGTTCTTGTTTTAGTTAAGGAGAGTTTGGGAGCGGCGTGTGTGATGTCACACACAGGCGATGAGTTTAGACATCCTGTGCTCACTTCTAGCCCTTTGTTTCTTTGTTTCCTCTTCCTGTAGACTGCTTGGTCCCTTATTTCTTTCCATGAATCAAGGTGAGAATGTGGACCTGCTTTCTAATGGAGCTGTCCCTTTAAATATCTCTGCCATCCCTGGGTTACTGTCCTAATGTGTAATCCCACCTGCTGCCATGGCAACCACGGGTGCAAGGCGACATGCCACTCCTCTGGGAATGGCTGACTGGAGGTGGCAGCAACAGCAGCAGCAGTGCCCCAGTATTGGCCTCATGGGTACACGTGGGGTACACATGGGGGTACAGGGCCTGGGTAGCTTCTTCTTGCTCACTTTTATTCTTGCTGCATAAATGGACTTTTATCTGTCCCCACCCTCACTTTCTGAGGTGCCTGGCTTGCTCCAGGGCACCAATCCTCACCTGATGGATAATGTTGGCAAAAGGGAGAAGCTATCGTTGAGATAGGTTGGAGAGCCGTGGCCTTTACTGCTCTGTCACCATCCAGTCTTTCCTCCCAACCCTGACCCCACTGTGCTCCAGTGGTTGGCATCTGAAGTTATTTGAAGATATTTGCCTCTTGTCAAAATGGCATTACTACACCTACCAGGGAGAAGGCCCTAGAGCTGTTCTTGAGGGCTTTCTTTGGTTGAGGGGGTTATTGTAAATAAACCAGCCTGGAGTTGGGGAGAGGCCTGGGATTAGAGAGCAGGGTAGGACTCAGCATCAGGTGAAGTAGAGGAGGGACTTCTATAAAAGAGATACCGGAGCACGATGGGAGCCAAGCTCTGCCGGCTACCTGGGATTTCTACACGGGCTGAGAGGGAGGTCCCAATCCACAGGGATTTACTCAAGTCCTTACTTCTCTCAAACCCGACCTCTTAGCCACCTCCCTACCTTCCCCAGCACTAAGTGACAAGGATCAGGCCAGTTTAGTGTGACTATCTCCTGCCACCGCCCTCCTCCCACCCATTACCGCCCCCTCCTCACCAGCAGGCGGGCTTTGGCCAATCAACAAGGCGGCCCGGGAGGCGGAGCCCTGCTATTGGCTGATCCTGCAGCGCTCCAGGAGTCCCGCCTTCTTTAGCTCAGCCCGCGTCTGGCTGGGAAGGCGCCGACCTCGCGGGAGACTGTTCTAGGATTGCCAAAGGGGTCGCCATGGCCTGCAGCCCGGGCAGTGAGGCTTCCTTGGAGGGGATTTCCCTGGGCTCCTCTGAAGAAGCAGAGCTCCGCAGGGAAGGTAGGAAGAGGTGGGGTGGAGAGGCAGGGGAGGGGTACTCAACCTTTAGCTGACCCTCCCAGAGTGGGCTCTGAGGCACCTGGGCAGCGGTGCCCGTAGAGAAGATCTGGACGCTCAGCTTGTCAGGGGAGCGGATCTTGCAGAGGTCACCACTCCCCACTTGGCTTAGTCACCAAAACCCCAGAGCTAGGGGAGTCAGTGAGTGGGACCCGCGACTGTGGGCATTTGGCAGAACAGGAAGGGCTCCTGACTTGGGACATTGAGAGCCCAAGAAGGACCTTGTAAGTCTCAAGTCCTTGCAACGCCCAGGCCAGGAGGAGGGGTCTGGAAAGCCAGGCTGTTAAAAGGTGGGGAGGAGGAGTAGGAAAGAGATGGGGGCTCAGGAGCCTTAAGCCATCTTCTCCAAGCTCCAGTTTTAGGGCCCCCTTCTGCCCACCTTCACTCTTTGGAGGAGGGGAGCTCTGAGCCTGCTTCCCCACTCTCCCCTCCTCCGGGATTAGGCCGCTCCAGTGCAGCTGTAGGCGTGGGTGGCAGAGTAATGATACCCCTGCCCATCTTTGCTCCCAGCTGGGCACACTCCTTGTCTCCTTCCTCCCACCCCCTAGCTCCCTCCAACCTTAACCCAGGAGTGAAGGCAGCCTCCACCCATATCTCAGGGGACAGTGTCAGATGTACTGATGTCCTTGGTTATGTGTCATCTCAGGCTGAGAGTGCTCATCCCTGGGGTGATATGACTTTTGACCTCTGCCCTTGATACCCAAAGCCATCCCAGAAACCTGGGTGCTTGTTGCTCCAGCCCCTGCTAGTATTCCAGGCTTCCATTTTGACTTTTTATGTTTTGTTTTGATGACAGGGGTTCTCTGGGCAACCCTGCCTGTCCTGAAACTCACTCTGTAGACTAGACTGGCCTCAAACTCAGAGATCCACCTGCCTCTGCCTCCCGAGTGCTGGAATTAAAGGCATGGGTCACCACCTGCCCAGCTGGTTTGGACTTTTTGTCATGCATTAATTTCTAAAGGCTGTCTGTCAGAGTGGGAGGGAAAGACTGAGGGTGGGGTTTGTCAGTGAGTTCAGCAGTATCACTCTAAGCTAGTGGTATACAGCTTGGACTGGTGTAGCATTGGTCCTGGCCTTCTACATTGCTGCCGCTTGGACTCAGGGGCACACTCTGCCTTTCCCCTGAGCCTGCCAGCTACAGGTGGCCAAATCAGGCTTCCACCCATCACTCATGGAGAGGTTGAGTGGGGAGTCTGCTTCTTTGGAGCTGGGCAGACTCTGGGATGGAACCATTACCTTTGCTCCCTGGTCTGATTCCTGTTGCTGGTAGCCCCCTACCTTTCCAGGAGGGCATTGCTAGGGTAAAAAAGGCAGATCAAGAAAACTGCCTCCTGTCCCTAGGATCAATGGCTGAGGCATGCAAGGGCCAGGGTGTTTATGAGGGGAGAGAAGAGAGTGCTGTTGGGTGACTTCCGTAGGGATGGGGGACAGGGTCTGTGCTGGATTTTGGTCTTCTGTGCCCAGCTGGTGCTCAGCGTCTCACCACCCCTTCCCCAGCTATGCAGCAAGTCTTGGACAACCTGGGATCCCTGCCCAATGCCACTGGGGCTGCAGAACTGGACCTGATCTTCCTTCGAGGCATAATGGAAAGTCCGATAGTCAGATCCCTGGCCAAGGTATGGTGTATCAGGGAGGTGGGCGGTGTACCTGGGAACCTCAGAGGACCCTAGGAATGGGGCATGTGGCAGAAGCCACCTGAAAGGGTGTGGAAGGGTATCGTGCGTGGGTGATGCACCTGAGGGAGCAGGTAGGGGAGCATCCGCTGCATCTCGCTGCACCTGGCTGGTGAGAGGGGGAGGCGGAACACCTGACGGAGAGAAGAGCATTCCTGTGTGTTGGAATCTCCAGATTGGTCCTGCCCACTTCTCTGCCTTTGGGTGCTTGTGCCTGTGTGTCAGGTGGGAGGCAGGCTCAGTAAGAAGAGAAAATTATAAGGATTTTTATAGTGGCATTTTAGGAGCAGACACAGGCATGCTTGGGGTGCACAGGGACAGGTGTGTGTGCCTGAGCCTCTGGGGAGGGGTGCAGAGGAGGCCTCGTGGGGGGAAGGGCTAGTGTGAGTGTGGTGGATGCAGAGAGGGGCGGGCATCTTGGGCCACAGGAAGAGCTTGGGCAGAAACCTCAGAGTGAGAGGTAGTTAGGTGTGAATCAGGTGCTAGACATGGATGCTGAGCTGTGAAGGACTGGGGATGGAGCCTGGGGGCTCAGACATTCACTTCAAACACCAAACAAGCTCTGTACATTTTAGACAGGAAGAGACGGTGACACAGGTGTTTATAGGAGCTCCCCCTCGCCCCCATCAGAGACCAGATAGAGATCACGTGGTAGTTAGAGCTAAGATTGCTAAGAGGTACCAGACACTGAGATGGCACTGCTCTCCCTAGAGAGACAGAACTTGTGTTTGGGATGGAGTGGGACACCCTGGGTCACCCAAGGTTTCACTCTAAGCAGGAGAGGCTGGTGTCAGCTTTAGCAGAGAGAGTAAGCACGAGATCGTCTTCTGTGGGGAAGGAGGTACTCATAGGCTGGGCTGGAGGCTGCTGGGAAATCTGAGGAAAGGCAGGCATTTCTCTCCTGGGATTCAAGGGTCAGGGCTTGAGCGGGGGATCAGAAGCAAAGTTGGAACAGTCACTGAAGGGGAGAGAATCTGGTGACCCAGGACCCAGACAGTCCATGGCAGGCATCAATTTCTCAGAGAGGGACAACTTAATCCCTAGGCAAAGAGGAGGAAGAAGGTGGCTTTGATCCAGGCCCCACATGTGGGTGGATCCACAGAGGAAGCCTAAGGCATGACTTCCTGGAACCAGGTTGAGGAGGAGGAGGTAAAGAGGCAGGGGAAAATCCAGGTGAAGGATGGAGCAAGGGTCCCTTTGAGATTTTGAGGTAACTGGAAAGTGTGTATGTGGGGGTGGGTAGAGATGGAAGAGATGGCCAAGGTCAGGGAGAGGAAGGTAGGAAGCAAACTGTTTCCTAGGAGCGCAGTTCTGGGGGATGGTTCGACCAGACAGGGTGTGGCTGCTCTAGAAGCTCTGTTGTTCAGGGGTGTCCCAGAGGATTAGGCTGTGGTAAGTGGACATGGCTACACACACCTGGGCATTGGAGGCAATGACAGGGAATGAGACTAAGGCAAGATTTCGTCTTGTGAGAACAAGGGGTAAGGCAGTTAGTCAGCACGGTCTTCAGGAGTGAATGGTGGGTGGGTTATAGGGTGGAGGGATAGCATAGAGGGTGGTGGGGTCTCCTTGTTTTTATTTCCCCCTCTGTGTGTGTGTGTACATATGTGTGAATATACATTGTGTGTATACTCCTGTGTGTGTACACATGCGTGCATATGTTTATGTGTTGACAACATGCATCGAGTGGTCCTCTCTGATCCCCACCTCAGGGTAGACCTGTGTAACTGTGTGTGTGTACATGTATGTGTATATACACCGTGTGTACACTCCTCTGTGTGTGTACACATGCATGCATATGTTTATGTGTGTGTAACTGCGTGTTTGTGTACATGTGTGTATATATACACTGTGTGTATACTCCTCTGTGTGTGTGTGTGCGTGCATGTGTGCACATGCGTGCATATGTTTTTTTGTGTGTGTAATTCAGAGATTGAAATCGGGTATCATCCTCAACTGCAAACACAGGGGCCCTTCCTTCTGCACTTCCCCAGCAATGAGATTACACATGTAAATCTCACTGGCTGGCTTTTTACCTCGGTGCTGGAGATCCAAGCTCAGGACCTCCTACTTGTACACTTGTACATTTTACCAATGGAGCCGTCTGTCTAGCCCCAAATGGTAGATTTCCTGTAGGGACTGGTAGCGACTCTGTCGAGGTGGTAGCCATGGTGTAGGGAATGGAGGTTAGGTCCTGCTGGAGGGAGAGAGCTCCTGTGTTCCAGGCACACCTCCAGCCTACACTGTTGTCCAGCACGAGGGAAGCTGAGGCAGGAGGATTATGAGTTTGGTAGCCTGGGCTACATAGTAACACCTTGTCTCAAAGAACAGAACAAGTGTCAAGTATGAAGACTATCTCTTTAATCTCAGCACTTGGGTGGTAGAGGCAAGGACATCAGGAGTTCACGGTCAGCCTCAGAGAGTTGGAGGTCAAAACAGGCTTCATGAAATACTGTCTCCAGAAACCACTCAAAGCAAAGAAGAAGCAAAACATAGAGAAGAACAGATGATCAAAAAGTCTGAGAAATTCTGGGGAAAAGAAAACATTGAGTGGAGGGACAAGAGAAAGGCAGGCTGCCTTTTGCCTTCCTTGGCTGTTGAAGAGAACGCCATTCATTTATTCATCCATTCATCCATGTATTTATTATTTAAAGCCAGAATATATATATATATGTGTGTGTGTGTGTTTGTGTGTGTGTGTCCATGTGTGTGTGTGTCCAAGTGTGCTTGGGTGTCCATAGAGGCCAGAAGAGGGCATTAGATTGCCCGGGGCTGGAGTTACAGGGGACTGTGACCCATCTGACATAGGTGCTGGTTATGGAACTCGGGTCCCTCTGCAGAAGCAAGAAGTGCTCTTAACTGCTGAGCCCCTCTTACCCTTTCCTTTGAAGAAATAAAGATGCTGTATGTTACAGTTCATCCCTTCCTCTCCCTCATTCCTACTGCTTTCCCTCCCCAGGAGTAAACACGTGTGATATCATTTCCCAGGATGCTTGCTTTCCTTGACTATATATGGGTTTAGCCACTAATAATATTCCCTTTTTATACATGCCTTTAAATTTCCCATAAATGGAATGGTATTATAATCTGCTTCTGTCCTTGAGATTTCTAGTTTGTGTAGGGAGGGAAGTTATTGATCCAAGTACAGATAAAGATAGTGGGACTCCCTTGAACTGTTGGGCACAATTCTGACACGTGCTGAGTACAGTTTGGTAGCTCCCCTCTGGGAGATGAGGGTGGTAGTGCCGGTTTTCCCCTGTGAAGGACAGCACTGATGTGAACGAATGTCTTTATATCCATGTGTGTATCCTCAAGGGTGAAGGTTCTCTGGGGTGGACTTGGCATTGGAAGTGCAGAACACATGAGTTTTGGAACCTCAACATCTGTAACCTTCTGAAGCTGAATTCAGAGCTGTATGTGTTAGAACATATCTTCTATGGGTCACAGGGTCAGGGTACTCAGCTCATTTCAAAGTGTCACTTTCCTGAGTAACACTCTGCCCCAGTGGCCTTGCTCAAGGACTTGACAGATCTCTAGAAAGGGATTGCTAACTCTGTAACACATTTTCATTCATTCATTCACTCACTCACTCACTCATTCACATATTCATTCATTCATGAATGCATTCATTCATGTATGCATTCATTCACTCATTTACTCATTCATTCACTTATTCATTCATTCACTCATTCAGTTATTCACTTATTCAGTTATTCACTCATTCATTCATTCACTCATTCACTCTTTCTTCCACTCATCTTTTTAACAGCTATCTACTGGACACCCAGCATACACCAGTGTCTTAGGGTTTCTAGTGCTGTGAAGAGTCACCATGACCACTGCAACTCTTATAAAGAAAATATTTAATTGGGACTGGCATATAGTTCAGAGGTTTAGTTCGTTATCTTCATGGTGGGGAAACATGGCCCTGTGAATGCAGACACGGTGCTGGAGAAGGAGCTGAGAGTTCTATATCTTGATCCACAGGCAGCAGAGAGAGCTTCAGAGACCTCAAAGACCTCTCTCTAGTTACACACTTCCTCCAACAAGGCCACACCTCCTAACAGTGCCACTCCCTGTGGGCCTATGGGGACCATTTTCATTCAAACCACCCCAACCTGGCACAGCACCAAGATAACAGCAGATGAACTGGAGATAATTTGCCCAAGTCTGTCTTCCTCTTCCCCGGTCCCACAGTGCCTCAGTCCCAGAAACTCACATACAGCCTAGGTGACAAGGACTGTAAGCAAAGTCTCTTCTCTAGAAATGTTTGGGGCATAAGCTGGTCAGATTGTCCTTCCAGAAAATTCTGGGCATGATACTCAGTGCGTAGAACTCTACAGAAGATACTGACGACATTTGTTCAACTCTGAGAGGTTATGTTAGTTTGCTGAGGGCATCCTGTGACTTCTCTCATCTGGTTCTGAAACAGAGATGGAATCTTCAAGAAGGACTTCAGAGTGGTAAACCCCTCCCACCTCTGTGTGGGTGACCCTTCGCTGCAGAACTTGACTGCTCATCAAAAGTCGTTACAGCCTCTCCACTTTCCAACATGGGCTTGGTTGGGACATTGGGACCTACTTCTTAGCAGTTTTAATGACTATATAGCCATAGATATTTGTGAACCAACAGACAAAACACGGTAATTAAATATTTAGCTGTAAAATCTTGGTTCTCCTGAAGAGGTAGCTAGGAGCCCCCAGTGGGTCCAGGTTAAACTGTTTGCAGTAGTTAGTTACCTGCCTCCTCCCTTTGCCTTTGAGGAGGTGAACTTGACTCTTATCTCTGAAGATATGGGAGACACATGGGAGGGTTTGGGATGAGTAGAGCTGGGGCCAAGGATAGGGGTACCTGAGAGAGTGAACCCAGAGAGTTAAAAGTTCTGAGGGCAAGCAGCTCGTAAATCCAGAGGTTGGCTGTAGAGAGCAGGTGGTGACGCTGGC